TTGTATGTATTTGGACATGGCTTTTTTTTGCATTGGTATTTATCCTTTTCAAGTATAGTTGTACCTTTTTCAATCCGATAGCATCTTGGAGTTTGTATGCTACAAGTCACTGCGAATTAAATAGGCATTTGCTGATATAAGCGTATTCAGTCCTCGAAGATAGTGCTTGATTTTTCCTCGAAAAAATTCACAAAACTCTTTGAAATATGACGAATTTCCCAAATCAATCACTTATTTTCGGATGGAGGTAGTACGATACAAATGCACTGAATACCTTCAATTGCCTCGTCCCCTGTGTGTTCCAAGTATTGCATGCGAAACTCATTACGAGTTTGGTCATCGATGGCAGCCCCATTTCCGATCGTTTTGTGTATTATATGTAGCTTACCGTGTTGCATTGGTGTCAACGACTCTAACACGAGCAATCCTTTTGCAGTGGACTCGTTGATTCCATATGCACGAGCAACGGACTTCCAGTCTTGCCCGGCGTGGTGTGCTGCAACCACACGTCTTTTGGAAGAGAGGAGAAACTCGCTTGTAGGGACCACGTTGGGGTGGCTGCTATGACATATTAGCGGTGGATCGTTCTATACAGAGAGCTGCACCGGAGTTTGTGGTGCAGGGATGGTCTCTTCCATCGAGCTCAGATTCAAGAATGGTGAAAGCGCGCGAAGAGTTTCGCGCGCTTCGATCTTTCTAGATTCCCAGCTCGAATTATAATGATTGTTAGGTGAATTATATTTTCAAAACGTGAAATTAACCTGTGGTTGGGTGAATTATAACGCAGATTGGGTGAAATATAACGGCGATATTTTACGTCGGCGTGAAATATAATGGAGGTTGGGTGAATTATATTGGCGATTCGGTGAAATATATCGGAGGTTGGTGGAAATATATTGAAAAAAAGCTGAAATTAAACGCAAAATGGTGTAGTATTTACAATCGGCCTTTGATCCGGTTAATGGCATGAAACAAACATTTTTACCTTGATTTGGGACGATAAACATCGTCAAACCAACAATATTCGGACACGGTAAACATCGTCCAATTTGGCCCGACGTCTTGGCACAACGACGAGACGATTGTTTGCGTGGTCGTCACCTGCGACCAGCCGTCTGAAGACCCTTCCCAAGACCAATGCTATCTTGGTCCTCACGCGTCAAAGCCAGGGAACCCACAGCCGTGTAAGCCGAAGCCGTCGCCGCCAGTCCAGCGGCGTTTGGTTATTGTGAAATGACATGTCGAATTTACGTCCTTCCAAGTACAGTATATACTTCACCAACCCCGACATTTAAAATGTTTACACTCGAATCAGTTTTGTAGCCAATCATTGATTAACGTTAGTATTGTCGTAAAATTATTTAATTTTACGACAATACTAACGTTGTCAATACTTCGGTGTCGCGTAATATCCGATCGTCGTTCGATCGTCTTGCGCTCATTGTCGGATTATCTAAGAGCATCTCCACCGCGCCCAGTGCAATTTCACTCAAAACTTTCATTTGAAGATTTGAATGGAGCGGGTTTACCTCACATTTTACAGGCTGTTTTGTACTGTATTTTTGCTAGCTTAATGTTAGTACAACTACAGTACAGCGAATGGTCTCAAGTGTTTGATTGGCTAAATGAGATTCAGCCAAGCAAAACAATCAAAGCTGTAGATATACCGGTATGCGTACAGTACAGTACTGTACTGTAGTGTTGTGATATACTTCGGCCACTTCACTTGCCGCGTTGCTCACCCGTGTCTTGGTCACCATGGCCTCTTTAAAAGCTCCGCGATGCTTGACGGACGTACCTCTCGGAGGAACGTTGCCGGACGACGTGCATGCTGTGTCCGTGTCGATGCCCGAGTGGGACCACGTCGAATCGTATTCCCAGGGCTGCCCCAAGCTTCATGCGGCACTGCCGTCGGGGTACCCTCGGTTTGTCTACCATCACTACGTGGTGGCATTGAACCAGTGGGTACGGGACACGTATGTGAACGACCCGACCAAGCTCGCGTACGTGTTGCCCTCGTATGACGTGGCGACGCGATGTGCCGCGTTCATGCAGGTCTCGTATCCCGAGGCGATGCCGCTTATCGATTTGGGCATTTGCGGCGCGTTCGCCATTGTCGTACCTGCGGCGGGTCTCAAGACCTTCAAGTCGTTTTGGCAGCACAGTGGGGAGATCACGACGTCGCGAATGGCCAAACACATCCTCGACTTCAAGGACAGGAAGGAGGCGGCGCCGCGGAAGGCCATGGCCGGCACGCCCGTCCACATGGCGTTGAAGGAGCACGTGGCGTCGCTGTACCCGCGCATTGGTGCGGCCGACGTGTTGTTGTATCCTTGCGGGATGTCGGCCATCTTTGCCGCATTCCGCATGGCCAAGTCGCTCCATGCAACGCCTAGGCAAGGTCGGAAGATCGTATTGTTTGGGTTCCCGTACCTGGACACGCTCAAGATCATGCGACGGCCAGAGTGGCGCGGCGCGGCAGATGACTTTGTCTTTTACCCCCACGGCAATAGCGATGGTACCGTCGACGCTCGTTGTGGACTTGGCCTTTGGGACTGACCTAATTATTCTGTCTGTACTTGTGTGTAGAAATGGATGCGATCGACCAACTCGAATCGATTGGCGCCATCTTCACCGAGTTTCCGACCAATCCGTTGCTGCATAGCGTCGATTTGAAACGGCTGGCGGCGATTGCCCGTCGCCACAACGCGATTTTGATCGTCGACGACACCATTGGCTCGTACAACGTGCAGGTAACCACGTCACAGCCAACCACGTCTCAGCCACGTATCATACGTTCATTCCCGTCCACACATCGTATATCCATGGACGTGCTTGCTGTTTCCATCATTCGGTGCCTTGAACATGGTAACATATGCCTTGAGTAGGTGCTGGACGCTGGCGCGGACGTTGTGGCCACTAGCTTGAGCAAGATCTTCACGGGCGCATGCACCGCCACAGGGGGATCGCTGGTGGTAAACCCCGCGAGCACATGGGCCGCTGCCGTCCATACCTCATTGGCGTCCGACGAATACCTCTTTGAAGACGACTGCGTAGAGCTACTAGCCATGTCGAAAGTACGTACAAGTACCTATGACATCCTCAAAATACTCCTCCATATCGGGTCCTCGTCAAAGTACTCAATATCGCGACCTCCATAAAGTACTCAATAGTGAGTGAGCCTTACAAGTAGTACTCAATACCGAAGAGTAGGACGTTCGAGAGCGCCTTCGCCGGGTGAATGCCAATGCCTCGATCATTGCCAGTCGATTTGCCAGTCATCCGCAAGTCCAGGCGGTGTATTACCCCAAGTTTATCGACTCGGACTTGTACAAAGCCAACTTGACGCACCCAGACGACGACTCAGATGCGTTCGGACCTCTCATGTCGGTAGTGCTCCGTGGCGGCGCGGCGGCGGCGGCGACCTTCTACGACGCGCTCAACGTGGCCAAAGGTCCGAGCTTAGGTACCAACTTCACGCTGTCCGTGCCGTACACGATCCTCGCGCATTACGACGAGCTCGAGTACGTGGCGTCGTGTGGGCTCGATCGGAACCTCGTGCGGTTCTCCATTGGGCTTGAAGATGTTGACGAGATTTGGGGATACATGGCGGTTGCGTTCGAAGCGGCTGCGACATCGTGTGGTGGTGATAGCGTCCCCCTCTGAAAAGTACTGTAGCACAAAAGTATCGACCCATATGAATAACGACAAACGACGGACGGACACCAACTGCATTGCAGTGGATATATCAATGTAGATAGACAAATCATCAGCGCATTGGGGAAAGGAATGAACGTCCACATGGAGAAACCAACTCTTGACGAAGGTACATATCATCTACATTGCGATGTCATAATTCTGTGTAGCCGACCCTGGTTTGCCCAGTGCGTTAATGCTGCTGGAACGGTGTGGAAGGCGGACTTTTACTGGCAGGAGGAAGAAGTATTCCCATGGCCATACACTTGATGCAACGCAAGAGGGGTTCGTACATGTTCATGTGGGGGATCGTATTACATCTGGAACTCTACTGGCAGCAGCCGACACGTTGTTGTGGCAATGGTTGAATAGACACGTGTGCCGCCTGGCCTGTACTAATCCAACCCCCGAAGGAGGACGAGGATCTCTATTTCAAATGCTTAAAGAGTTGGGGCACGGAGCACTTGTCGATGCACTTGAGGTAGTCAAAGTATTGGCCGTCGCAAGCGCCGTCGCCCTTGGCAGTGATGCGGTCGACGCATGCCCGGTACAGCTTGAACGATTCGACGCACTTGGGTTCGCACGCCTTGCGGATTTCGGGCATCACATCAACGGGATCTTCGCCGGCCTACACATAAGAGCATCGTTGTCATCATCCGCGGACGCTACTTCCATCCACGAAGCAAGCATCCACGCACCATACTGACAGTTTGGTAGGTCCTTCACTTGTGAGCCAAACAACCTGGCCAGTCAGTACAGACCATTCAATAAAGTACCGTTGATACAAACCCCAAGCTATCTGGGCGTCGAAACGTTTGCGGGAGGACTTTGGCCATCGTGATAGTATTAATTTTCACGGGTTTCCTGTGAGGACACGAAGCCACTGGCTGGAATCGCATCGAGTAGTCATTATGCTGCAACGCCTGGTCAACGCTACATGGCGCCGCAGTGCCGCCGCCGCTGCTGGCCCCGTGCGCTTCATGAGCGCCGGAATCTCCCAGCACCGTGACACCCCCGACAACACGTCGGAAACGTCGTTCGATTTCTCGGAATCCAACTACGTCAAGGTCCATGCCATCCTCAGCCGGTACCCCGAGAACTACAAAGCGTCGGCGATCATTCCTTTGTTGGACTTGGCGCAACGCCAACACGGTGGGTGGTTGCCTCTGGCAGCCATGAACAAGGTGGCGCGTATTGTGGACGTGAAGCCGATGCAAGTGTACGAAGTCGCGACGTTCTACACCATGTTCAACCGCGAAAAGGTCGGAAAGTACTTCATCCAACTCTGCGGCACGACTCCATGCATGATCTGCGGGTCCGAAGAGATCAAGAACGTGATCGAGGACCACTTGGGCATCAAGGAGGGCGAAACGACCGCCGACGACTTGTTTACGCTGCGCGAAGTGGAGTGCTTAGGCGCATGCTCGAACGCCCCCATGGTGCAAATCAACGACGACTTTTACGAGAACCTGACCCCCGAAACCACCCGCCAGCTCTTGGACGCGTGCAAGAAGAACCAGCCGCCGCCCATGAACAAGTGGGGCTCGCTGCCCATGAACGGCCAGCTGTCCTGCGAAGGCCCCCAGGGCAAGACTTCGTTGAAGTGGGACAAGCACCCCGCGCCAGGCTTCCGAATGCGCCCGGACGCCGACTTGGTGCCCAAGGTCGACCCCAAGACGATCAAAGACGAGATGTTGTATTAACGAGAGCGGAGATTCACACGCTGTGCATTTCGTAACATATAACACGACGAAGTGTCCTTGCTGGTTGGTTGAAATGTGGATATCGCTCGCTATACGTATACCGTTATAACGAGCTTGGGTGGCGAGGCTGAGGGGATTGTATGAATGGTACATGATCAAGATGCCATGTCCATCCCATCTTGTTCACCTCCATCTCGTTTGTGACCATACTGGTACTAACGTTAGTAGTGCCAAAGGCTGCCGAATGAAAATCAAAGAAAAAAAAATCAGCCGATAATAAAAAACCTGTCAAATCGAATTGGCCAATGATCGTGTTTATGGCAATGTACTTGTAATTGTGCCACTGGCTATACGTGTATACTAGTAGTACTATCGAAGCCATAAAACGGGGAAGGATTAATGAGATGGTCAAAAATCTGCTGTTGGTGTTTTCGTTAGGGGAAGTTCCAAGTAGATTTCAGAAATAGCATGAGCCAATCAAAATCGATTTAGCCCTTTTTTTTCGCGATTTATACCAGTAAGGGGAAGTTCTTTTTCTACTTTTGGTATACAGTAGTGAATTGCGTAAAATTCGCAGAAAAGGGGTAAAAAAGTAGGAAACTGTATTGTCGATTTGATACAAATTTGGGGGTTAGCACTTCATTGACGGCTGGCAATGTATACTAACTTTCGAACTTGCACTTTTCAAGAAAACACAGGGGGGGAACGTTGTTGGGGGCTTCAGGGGAGGGCTAGATTGATAAGTATCATATTCCTACGACCCGTTGGAATCTTTGCAACGTTACAAGTACGTCGACTTGCTTTGGGCAATTTTAAATCTCATCCAACACTCGTCCACACATGTGAGCTATCACTAAAATGGTGCTCAATCTTGAGATTTTGGTGAGATTTCTTACGAGTACTGTTGTGTAGATCGGATATATGTCGTGGTGCTTGGGGGAGTGGTGGGGCTTGGGGGGCGCACGGTTGTCTTGTGCACCTCAATGCCATTTATAGTGATAGAGGGATCTCGTAGTAATTTCGGTGCCCCCTTCCAAATCAATTCGTAGCTGACGACATATATAAGGTGTCGAATTTGGTGGAATAAACAATTGTTGGCGCCATTTATACAACCGTGTCGAACCTATTCATATTGTCCACAACTTGAATCGAACGTTTAGTACAACTTTCCCCGCTGCATCTGGCACCACGTTCTATCTTTTCGGACGTATCCATCGAGTGATATCAGGTTGCCTCTGTGATTGCTATTCCGAAACGGTCGAGTCATAGGCCAATTAAGCAATTTACTGGCGGGCTCAAAGCAAGGAATCGCACTCGTGCGCTCAAGAGAGTGAATTTTACGGCCTGACGTATATGTGTGTGTTCTGTGGCTTGATTGTCAAAGAAATCGAACTCTCTCGTCATATTATTGGTGGTTTACATACAGTACAACCAGTGCTTACATGAACGAACGACCAGTGAAATTCACCAGCGAAAATCCACCCCGGCTCAGCTACGTTTGGTACAGTAGGCAAAGTTCCAAGAGTAAGGATTGGTGAAATGCATCGTCCAGCTGAGTGCCCAAGATTCATCAAATATTTTCACAGGTTTACTCTTAACGTTATGACGCATTTGCCCGTTGACGTGCTTGGCACTTCACGTGAACGCCTCCTGCGTATAGCACCGCCCCTTGCATGCAATTTTATTAGTCAAGCTCCCCCCTGCTTGAATGCGCTTGACTGCGCATGTTGTATGAACTGCTGAGCAACTACAGTACACTGTATGCGCTAGAGTATTTGTAATCATCAGCGTGCAACACAGCAAACGTGGAGGAGCCTCAGCTTTGCAAGGGAGGGGGGCTAGGATGGGGGGGGCTTTGGGCGGAGGAGAAATCGAACGCCACGTAACACGCACATATCATCAACGTTAGCGCGCAAATACTGTAAATGCAAAGCGTCAGCTGCAGCCATCTGTGTTTCGCTTGCCCAACCAACTGCAAGTACTATCCAAACCGATTTTGCAGTAGCTGTCGCGGAACGTCATATATGTTCAAAATTGATTAACTTACGCGAATTTTTTTTCCATCGATCATAGTCCACACATGACAACACCAACCTAACAAACTAATCCCTGCGGCCCCCTCACGAATGCGCACACTATTCCTAACGCTAACTCGTCTAGATGGCCGCGAAAAATGTGACGGTGTTGGATGCCCCAAAGGGGCCCCTGAGGGGACTCAGACTGTTGGACGACTGCGGCTGCATTTCGTAAAACGCAGGGTCGTTGTACGGTAGCAGGTCGACCCAGTTCATTTCCGTCGCGTCGTCCCAGTCCCCCGACGCGGTTGATGTCATGCTGCTGGCCGTGGAATCGCGAAAGTTGTTGAATTCGTTGTCCCCAAACCAGTTCATGTCGTCCACGCCGCCGCCATGAGTGTGTGGCTGGTGCTGATGTTGTGGGTGTGGGGAATGGTGGTACGTCGCCTGGTCCAACGAAGTCGGCGCCGCCGCGGACGACTTGCGCATGGCCTTTCGACCCCCCAACACCCGCGTCAAGTGCTTGTTTTCATATGACGACATGCGCGTCTTGTGCAAACTCATCGACTCCAGCGACAAGTCCAACGTTGCTTTCGGTGGCAACGTGTTGTTGTTGGAAGGCCGCAGCACCGGCGAGTCGCAAGAGTACACGGACGAGCACGGGGAATCGCACGAGGGGCGACCGGAGTACCGGGCGTCGTCGTCGTACTCGTCGCCCGTGTCGGTTGACGTGGCGTCCTTGGAGGTCACGCTGCTGACAGACTTTTTCCGGGTGATCAGCGAACTGCGATACGGTTCGTGTCTTGTAAACAGTTCGTTGGAGAACGTGCACACGTTGGCGCGGCTTTTGGTCCACTTTTTGAAGTTGAAGTAGTTGAGTTGGCGCTGGAAGCTTGTGTACTTTTTGTGCTTGAAGTACTTGGGCAGCACAGAGTTCATCATCTCGTCCATGTCGTGGATCTCGAACGCCGTGCCATCCTTGTTCCACCGCAGCACTTCAGGGTTTTCCCGATCCAGCATGTTGCGCAGGTTGCGCAGAAACGGCGCCATCTCACTCGCCTTGCGGAACTCGGCGGACACGGGCGACTCGTCTCCAGAGTAAAACTCTTGGCTGTCGGGCGTTGTGGGGGTGCCCACTGGCGTGCCATAGTACAATCGATGGTGAGGATGGTTGTTGTTGATTTGCATGGTGTTGTACGTGTCGGGCAACTGAATATGCAACTGGAAGGGCGACGACGACGACTTCGTGGAGGGGGGTGGGGGTTGACAGTCCATAGAGAGTGGCGACGAGATGTGAAATTTGACAATGGTGGCTGTTATCCTCGTGTGGCGATCTTCACGTAACGTTCAAAAATCACTTGATATGGACGTTTATTACACTGTAGATTGCTGTGTAGAGCTAGCTATAGATTTACACGGGTCTGGCTACTCAAACTTAAACACTAGGATCAAATTCCGTGCCTGTTCGTCATAGTTCACCTTGAAGTAGCTCGCCGTTTCGCTGAAATAATTACCCATCGTCCTCCCACTTGGAGTTTAAGCAAATCGCCAATTGGATGCAATTGTCATACAATTGCCATTCGAGGTTTCCGCCTTCGTCCCGCGGCCGATCGAGGATGGGCCAAGAAGCAAAGTACATCTACAGTTCGAGTAACGACAAGCCCCCAGTACCAAACACCCCTGGAACTAGCTGGGGAACTGACCCCACGATAGGAAGAGCCACTGTCTGAGATATGCCGTTCGATATTTTCCGTAACTACGCACGCTGCGAGTCAAAAATACACGCTGGGATACACCAATGATCGGTTGGACGACTACCACCTCACCCATTGTCGAGTCGTGGAGGCGCCGCTCCGTTCGAGAGAAGGATTGTTTTCAACGGCACAGTGCACTTAAAAACGGCATAGTGAGGTTAAAACGCGATCGCTTGGTTTTATAAGGGTAGTAATTAGTAATAATAGCCGTTTCCAAACAAGTCCTGATTCCACCACGCCAGAGATCAGTTTTCGAGTGCAATTCCTCTCAAAGAACAAATACTTCTGGCATGAAAATGAAATAAGTACTACTAATAGTAGTACATAGTAGTATGTGATTGCATTCCCAGCCCTGTCTTGATTAGTGTCACGACACTGCGGGTGTTCTCTTGGACTGAACCGACGGACGCCACTGCTCCTTCCTCACTCGCATTGTGATCCTGTTTAACAGGCAGACGGTTCGATTTTATGACCAGCAGGTTTGATTTTCCGAACACAGCGCCAACACATGGACGCGGAATCCACGCTTGTTATACTGCCATGGTGAGATCACCTCGTGCGTTATTACATAGCTAGGTGGAAATAGAGTGGACATTGTCCACCAAATATATACTAACTTACAACCTGTAAACTGTGTTAAGTGTAGTCGGTAGGTCGTTGGAAAACGAACCAATGGTCACAGCAGTACGCCAAGAAACTAACTTTTGGCTCACTGCAGCCGCTCATGTCCACAAGGTCGTGATTGCGATAACTTGTTTTTTGCACAAAGATTCGCCACGAATGTAACGTTATGGCAGTACCAAGCCACGCCCAATCGAATCCCTCTCGCTACGATCTATAGATGCAACCCTCTCCTCCCCAATAGGTTCCCCATCCCATCCAACCCTGCAGATGGTTGCTGGTTTCTACAGCGTGGAATGAACCATCACATGCAGTGTCGTCATAGATATTTGTGGATCGCACGGCAACTACCTATCCTCCTGGGTAACTGTCGTATATGTATGTATGCACCAGTACTTAGGTAACCAAATGTCACCTCGACTACCGTAGAGTTTGCCATCATTTGCGTTTTTACACGGGGGCTATGCCAGCCCATCGTATGACCCCCCCTTCTTTCAACCCCCTTCCAGTCGAGGGGCAAGTGGTCTACTACTTTAATATACTTCTCTCCCCCTTCCGACTACCCAAAGCACTGTTATGACGGAAGTGTGCAGTCTTTGCTTGCATGTACAATCGCTCCATTACCGGTCCCTGTAGTATGTACTTTTGTGTCAAAGGCTAATTTTCGGGCTAACGTTAATTGTAAGGCTCTACTTAGTGATCAAAAGTTACGATAACTGTTACGGATATTACTATTATTTTAATAATAGTAATATACTATTATTTTAATAATAGTAATATACTATTATTTTAATAATAGTAATATACTATTATTTTAATAATAGTA